AGTCCTGACTTGGCCCTGTCAGATTATCACCTTTTTGAACCAATGAAACGCCATATTTCTGGACAGCGATTCACCGACGACGAAGCCGTGAACGATTGGTTGAAATCCCTTGACGAAAAATTCTTCAGGGAGGGTATCTTCTCCCAGATCCAGCGATGGGAAAAATGTGTCCAGCGGGATGGTGATTACATTGAGAAATAAACCACATGTTGAGGTATGATGTGTTACAGTTTTATTATAATAGGACAAAGATTTTTGCTTTTACGGACCTTTTCCGGTTTTCCGTGGGACAGCCCTCGTATATATTTATAAATAGATAAATAGGTAGATGTTTGTTTGTTTCTTAGCATGATTTATTCGCCGTCGGCTTTCTTGGCCAATCACGGTTTCAAGAGAGCCCCTTTAGCCAGCAACGTTTCGGGGTGACCTGTACACCAACAGCAGAAGCTCGGTAAGAACGAAGGAAAGCAATACAGACTGGTTCAAAGTAAGATCTAGAGTACGACAGGGATGCGTTCTATCTCCCCTCCTGTCTATAATATATATGAACACAATAACGCAAGACGTAAACCAAAGCCCAGAAAGCCTAAATGAATTTCTATTCGCAGACGACCAATGTCTTATTCATCCAAACCAACAAAGCCTCCAAAATCACACAACCGAACTGAACAACAGCTAAGAGAAATTTAACATGAAAATAAGCACATCAAAAACAGAAGTTAGGAAAGTGAGCAGAAACCGTAGTCCCCTGAACATCCATGTCAATAGTAAACAACTGAGACAGGTGAAGGATTTTAAATATCTTGGCAGCACTTTTTCTGAAAACGGGTCAGAGAGACAGAAATGCGAACTCAAAAAGTACCAGCTCGCAACCCCCCTTATCCCATTCCAAACATCTCCAAATGGACAGCTTATCACCTCAATATTCATACCAACATTATGCTACCAGTGCCAGACCTGGACATTAGGTAAAACCCATGAAAGCAAAATCACCGCATGCGAAATGAAATCCTAAACATCACAAGACGAGACAAGCAGAGAAATGAAGAATTAAGAGCAGCTATCAGCATTGAGTCCTGCCTGCATTACATAGAAAGACAGAGAATAAAATGGTTTGGCCACCTGTTACGTATGCCACCTGGCCAGCCAGTTTCGAGAGCCTACAACACCAAGCACTCAGGCAATAAAGGAAGAGGAAGGCCACGCAAAATGTGGATCTAGGGTGTCAAGGGAATCCTAACAAAACATATTGTCAAAACTGAAAGAGCTGCGGAGTTGGTCTACGATAGAAAACTGCATCTCCCCTCGACCCTTAACGGCAACAGAGGATGAAAAAGTAAAAGTAAG